TTGTTGCCGATATGTGCCATGGAGTCGGTTTCGACTCATAGTGACCCTACATAGGGTTTCTGAGGCTGTAAATCTTTACTGGAGCAGAAAGCCTCATCTTTCTCCCACAGAACTCATACTTTGGACATATTATCAGGATGAGCCAATTCCTGATGAAAGATATCATGCTTGGTAAAGTGGAGGGTCAGTGTAAAAGAAGAAGACGCCCAGCAAGATGTATTGACGCAGTGGCAGCAGAAATGGGCTCAAACGTGAAAGCTATTGTGAGGCTGGTGCAGAGCCAGACAGTGTTCAGCTTTATTATGCACAGGGTTGCTATGAGTTGGAACAGACTCAACAGCACCTAACAACAACAACACCTTGATCTAGCAATTATAATTTTTAGGAATTTATTTCATTGTCATACTAATGCATACACACAATGAAGAACATACCTACTCTTTTAAGATTTTTTTCACTCGACTTTTATTTGAAGGCATCCTAAGGAGACTATGACACTTATCACTGAAAGAACTTGTCTGCAACCATCCACAGATTACAAAGACCCTTTAGCATGTTTTGTTTGGAATAGACCTATCCATGTATCAACTAGAACTTTAGTACCAATACTTTTGGACACACACACACATATATAAGGCACCCTGGTAGCACTGTGAGTTAGGCACTAGCTTTTTAAGAAAAACTTAAATGCCAATCAATTTGTAACTAAATTATAGCACATTCATAAGAGGAAAGGCATGCGGCCAGTAAGAAGATACAGTTCTATCTGTGTGTATATCTATACATCTGTGGGTTTTGTACATGTTGCTGTTGGTAAAAGTTGTCAATTCAGTTCCAACTCATAATAACCCTGAATGGGGTATCTGAGAATTAAATCTTTATGGGAACAGACAACCTCATCTTTCTCCTGAGAAGCAGCTGGTAAGTTTGAAGTACTGACCTTACATTTAGCAAGCCAGTGCCTAATTCACAGTACTACCAAGGCCCCTTATATGTGTGTGTGTGTCCAAAAGTATTGGTACTAATGTTCTAGTTGATACATGGACAGGTCTATTCCAAATAAAACATGCTAAAGTGTCGGGGTCTGACCTCGACATAGTTGTCACGAGTTTTTGGTTCACGAGGAGGGGAGATCCAGCAGCGATAGGGATAGCGAAAGAATACACAGACAAACAGAAGAAGGGAGACAATGAGGCACCCCAAAGCCAGGGTGGATACATCACTGGTGGGCAGGCTTGGGACTACAGGCATCATGGCCTCTGCAGGCAGCGACTCACTGCCCTGCAATCTTTAATGCATGCCTTCCAACCAGTAATGCACACCTGGGGAGGCCCGGGCCTCTGTTTTATTTAGGGGAGGAGTTTCACACCAAGCTGGGAGGGACTAAAACAGGATACAGCTAACATCAGTAATTTTCCAGACATTCAGGTAACTTTACATTGTACTTCACTGGTTCGAATCCCAGGCCAGCAACTTGGAGTCTCAGGCCCAATTAACATATCTATAGCCCCTGAGGTCAGTTGGGGGAAGGTGAGAGTTCTGCAGGAGATGCCCAGGTGAATGGGCTGCACCTGGAAAAGGGATTAGGGAGGATGGGTTCTTTGTCTATAGAACAAAGAACCGAGAAGTAGCTAAGATATTTTTAGTTAATCCTTTGGAGAAAGGTTTAACCTTGCAACCTTTAGTCTCGGCTTTAGGAAAATATCACATTTATCTGTGGATTTTCAAAGGCTCCAGTGTATTAATTTAATATATATACCTGAATATTAAGATGAAAGCAATTTTCCATTAACTGCCAGTGGCCTCATTTGTTACACTCAGCCCTAGAGGGCCTCGAACCTCTGACTAGTCTAACACGGTCTGCAACACTAAAGGGTCTTTGTGATCTGTGAATGGTTGCAGACAAGTTCTTTCAGTGATAAATACTTGTCATAGACTCCTTAAGGTGCCTTCAAACAAAAAGTTGAGTAAAAAACCAAAAATGGCTTCTGAGAGGATTTGTTGGGTCAGTTCAGTTCAAGGCAGAGGTCAATGCAGAAGGCTATAGAAACTGCTTTTTGAGATTCCAAAGGAGCAATTTTGATAGAGTTTCTCAAAGGACACACACAGAACAATCACAGGAGTCTACTAGGAAGAAGTTTTGAGAAAATTCAAAACTGCATGCTGAGAAAAAAAGCAGCAAATTTGCACTGACCACTTATTTTACTTCATTACAATGGAGTTCTGGTGTGGTGCTATGGGTTAATGCGCCAGACTGCAAAGCCCTTTGAACTGCAAGGTTGGTGGTTCAAGCTCACCAGCTGCTCCCTGGAAACTCTATACAAGGTCGCTATGGGTCGGAATCAACTCGACAGCACTTAACAACAACAATGCACGTACCTGCTCATCTTTCTATGGTAGCAAGTATTGTCAATTAAGAATTTCTTTTTGAAAACTTACCACATCCATCATCCTCTAGCTGTGATGTTGTCCCTCTTTTTGTCCACAAAACTCAAACTAGCAAAAGAGCATGATGCCAAAATTTGCATTTTGACATGATATAAATCAAAGAATACAGAATTATTTGGAAACAGGTTGCTGTTGTTAGATGTAGTCGAGTCTGTTTATAGAACCCTAGAGCTTTGGTAGCATCGTAGTTACGAATTGAGCTGTGAACCACAAAGTCAGCAGTTCAAAACTACCAGCTGTTCCGCAGGAGAAAGATGAGGCGTTCTGCTCCTGTAAAGATTTACAGCCTCAGAAAACCTGCACCGGGTGGCTATGAGTCAGAACCAACTCCACGGCACACAGCCACCACCACCATGCACAGTAGAACGAAACACTGCCTGGTCCTGTACCATCCTCTCTATTGTTGTTAAGCTTGAGCCCACTGCTGCTGTCAATGTGCCAATTCATCTCCTTGGAGATGGTTAAGTTGCAGGGGAGCGTCTGTCTTTTTCACTGAAGCTCCACTTTACCAAGCATGATGCCATTCTCCAGAGACTGGTCCTTCCTAATAATACATCTGAAGTATGAGAGATGAAGTGTTGCCATCATGGTTTCTAAGGAGCATTCTGTCTGTACTTCTTCCAAAACAAATTTGTTCTTCCTTCTGGCAGTCCACGGTATTTCTATTATTCTTCTCCAATACCAAAATTCAAATGCATCAATTACTCTGTGATCTTCCTGATTCATAGTCTAACTTTCACATGTATGCGAGTCTACTGAAAGTACCATGGCTTGGGTCAGGCACATCTTATTCCTCAAACATCATCTTTGTTCCTGAACACTTTTGAAAGGTCTTGTGAAGCAGAGGGGAAGAGTTAGAGAGATGGTTCCACTGATGTCATAAGTGTATAGACCTAGATGGAGGATATGTTGAGAAAAAATGCCTTCACAATTTGATATTTTTGTTTATAAAGGTTTCTATGATTTTGTTGCTATAGTTTTTGGAAATCTGCTTCCTTTGGAGGAGGCACTTAAAGGAGATTCTATCAGGTTAAATATACACAACACTTACAATACACAATACAAAATATACTGTGATATAAAATAGTGTCTACATTACCATTTCTTTTTTTTAAAAACTATATTCTTGTAAAGGAAAGACTCTCTTTCTAGAAAAATACTCAACCTGATAACTTAGTTGCCTTTAGAGAAAGCAAATGGGTGTCAGTATAAAATTAAGATAACTTTTTATCACACACCTTTGTTACTGTTGGTGATGGTGTGCTGTTGAGTTACTTCTGACTCATAGTGACCATGTGTAGACTTTGTTGTTTCTGTTACGTGCCGTGGAGTCTGTTCCAACTCACGTTGTTGTTAAGTATCGTGGAGTTGGTTCAGACTCATAGTGACCCTGCACAGGGTATCCGAGGCTTTACACTACCAGAATGCCTCATCTTTCTCCCTCGGAACAGCTCGTAATTTCGAACTGCCGACCTTGAGGATAGCAGCCCAATTCGTAACCACTATGCTACTAGAGCTCCTTGTTCCAACTCATAGCAACCCTATAATTGTTTCCAAGGAGCAGCTGTCAGGTTTGACCCACCTACCCCCTGGTTAGTAGTCCCATGCTTATCCTACGGTGCCACACCAGTAAGAGGCTGTAAATCTTTAAAGGAGCAGAAAGCCTCATCTTCCCAAAGAGACTGGTGGCTTCGAACTGCTGGCATTGTGGTTAGCAGCCAAACGTATAACCCACTATGCCACCCCAAGTTCCTTGCACGTCTTTAGTACTTGTCACTTTTTTACCAGGCAGGATAATGTACCAAATTACCTATTTGAAAACAAATTCGTTAAGAAAAAAAAAAAAAATTGAATTGGGCATGATTTGTGTCCTTCCAGGGATTCATGTAATTTGGGAAACAGTGAAACATTTTTTTTTTTTTTTTTTTGCTTAAAAGTTAGCTTTCTTATTCTTTGCATCTTAAACAATTTGATTTTTAGTAACAGATTGAAAGAAAGCCTTTGTCATTCCAGCCTATATTAAATAAATCCAAAATAATACATTTCCATTTCTATTCGATAGTGCTTTGCCTTTGGTGAAAGAGGAAGAACTTTAAAGATAACACATTAGCACCTTGCTGTCATGAACTCAGAAGACAGACACCACCAACACCACAGTCTGAGAGCACCTCTGGGGGGCAGCTGCTGTTTTCTTCAGTAACCTCTTGGCCAATGGAAGCAGGTGGCAAGAGCATGTTACCACAAGCGCCTGAGCTCTTGGGGATTTGAGAGCGCTCTGTCCCTTGGCTCGGATTGTCAGCCTTCCAGGTTTTAACTCTTTTCAAGAAACGTGATGGACTGTTTGTCATGGCACTTTCAAATCAGAACCCTCAAGGCGTGCACTGGGGGTGCCAAGCAGAATGTTGTTGTTTATCTCCAACTGATACCATTGAAGATACTCTTCTTTGGAGAAGGGATTTCTCGCTCTCAAAATGATGCCTGAGACAACAAACCCTCCCCCACCCCCACCCCCGCGGGGAGAGGGCGTGTGAACTTTGGAGTAACACCCTCCAAGGCCCTCCCGTTTCGGGGCCCCGCCTCTCCGGAGGGAGAACACTATAAAGTCTTTGCGAACCGGGTCCCTCCAGCCGGTGTCGGTTTAGTCCAACTCTGGGGTTAGAGGTTCCGAGCCTTGAGTCCGCGCCCCCGGGAGCATCGGGTGCAAGAGACATGGCCCACGAGCTGTACCACCACGCGTTCGCCGAGGCGGGCAAGCAAGCGGGGCTCCAAGTCTGGAGGATCGAGAAGCTAGAGCTGGTGCCGGTGCCCCAAAGCGCCTACGGCAACTTCTACGTCGGGGATGCCTACTTGGTGCTGCACACTATCCAGGCGAGACGAGGCTTCTCCTATCGCCTGCACTTCTGGTTGGGTAAGGGATACCCGGCAGCGCTCCCCAGGGGTGCCAAGGTCTAAGGTTTGCAAACTAGGGGGTGGTGGGCGAAAAGGGGCAAGACTGCAGACTTACTGCACCACGCTCACCTTCACCTACGGGTAGCCCCTTCACTGCCGCCCACTTTCTGCACACTTGAGCTGGCTGCAAAGACCCCGTGCAGGTGAAGTTCCGAGCTGATTAACCCGCCTGCCTTGATTCTTTTCAAGTCCATTTCCGAGACTTTGGGCTGATTCCTCTGGCTGTTTCCCTTGTCTCCTTTCGGTCTCGAAACGCTCCTCCTACCTACCCGGAGGAAGGTGGCTAAGACCCGCTCACCTTCCAACAAGTTCAGTCCTGGTTCCCTGTCAGGTTGGAGATGAAGCCAAACAAGTTTGTGGACTTACGCTGCAGTTGCCGAGGATCCTACCCACGCTTTCAGCCCTTCCTTTCGTCCTTGGGCATCAATTTATATTTCTTTGGTAATTGCGGTCCGCTTTAAATCGGAATTCTGCCTTCGCCATACTGCTCACAGGTTTGGCAAAGGAAGCCTACTGTTAAGAAAATGTTGGCGACCTCGGGTGGTAGCAGCAAAAACCACACATATTATCTCTATAAATAAATAGCTCTATACAGCTAATATATTTTCTTAGTATTTATTCAGATGGACTCCTTTCTTATATTTGTTAGCTTAGGATTAATGTATTTTATCCACGACGTAGGCTGTAAAAAACAGCTCCTCTGTTAAAAACAGCTCCTTCTGCAGGACCAATTATTTGTCCTGAGCGCTTGGCTCTCAGGACATAAGGCCTTGTGTGTTCTACTTTTTCCACCTTCTACTTTTACTCGTAAACATCCTGACTATCCGTCCTCTCCCTATGAGGTCCAGTGCCAGTGGACACACCCCTTCTAACAACATGAGGATTCACTGAGGCTTTTACCTTCTTTCAAAACTAGCTTGTGTCCCTTCAACTTGTGTATTTGTTTAATTTTAGTCTTATTCCTCAATTTAAAAGGAAAACACACTGATACAATTTTTACATCTCTGAAAACCAACATTTTTTTATTTCTAACATTTAAAGAAAATATTAATAAGTAAAATAGTAGAAAATATGGAGAAGTGACTTTTCTTAACATAAGCAAACGCTCAGAGCAGGCCAATGTTTCTATTAGAATGTATAATACATAGTTTGGTGGCTCTGTATCATAAGCGCTGGACTGAGAACCACAAGGTATGTGGTTCAAGCTCACCAGCTGCTCCACTGGAGAATGATTAGGCTTCTGCTCCCTGGACGATTTTAAAGCCTGGGAAACCCTATACAGAGTTGCTATGAGTTGGAACCGACTGGAATGCACTTAAAGACAACATCTATATTTTATACCAGAAAACATCTAAACCTTAAATATACCCTATGATCATGAATGAATCATGCCAGATGAAATAATTTTTCCATCCAGAATTTGGATCTGCAATGAATGAAAGTGTCTGAAATGCCACATTTGTCATTTAAGTGAAGAAGAATGTTAAAGAACTCCAAATCATCCTGTAAGCAGAAATAAGTTTAACTTTATAGGAAGACTGTAAAACAGCTATGAACACAATTCTTAAATTCTGTAACTACTTTCTTATCTAAGTAAGTTATTTAGGCTTGAGTTTTGTAGGCTTCATAAATTAACTTTACCTTTTATGTGTTCATTTGGTTCTAGTCAATTTAAAAATGGTTTTGGCAGAAATGTTTTGTAATCTTAAAGCTCTGCTAAAACAGAATAACATCTTAATGATAGTTTATTCTGCAAATATTCAGCATGCCCAGATCTGTATTAAGTATTTTTAATATATAAATAATTGATTAACCTTCCCTGAAAACACAGACAAAACACAAAGAATGCTATTGCACACGTAGAATATGATAAGTATTAGGAAAGAGAAGGCTTTGAGAAAAATGATGGTTACTGGAAGGTTCTTATGCTAAGAGAAAAGTCATGGGGAACATGGGCAAGAGTGATATCGTCAACAAGTCCTTCAGATGTATTCATTCAGCAGTCCTTCCTATTCCATTTCCCTGAAACAAGCTGAATCTTACCTAAAATAATCTACGTTAAGACCTAAGGTTGGCAGTTCAGGCTCACCAGCCAGTCCAGCATAGTAGCTAGTTTGAATTGTCTTTGGGTTAGCAGCTGAGTGCTTTAAGACTGGGCCACTAGAGCTCCTTAGGAAGCACATGGTGGGTGCATTTAAACTTTGAGGTATAGAATGGATTTTGTTTCCTACAAAGAACACATGACTTATTAATGACAACGTGTCATCAACAGTATTGATTCAAGGAACAAAATAGCAGCCTATCAGTCTTACCCTCTGGAGTAAGACCTGTTGAGTTCATGTTGTTAAGTGCCATTGAGTCAGTTCCGACCCATAGCGACCCTGTATAGGGTTTCCGAGGAGTGGCTGGTGAGCTTGAACTGCCGACCTTGTGGTTCAAACTGACTTTGCAGTCCAGTGCATAGTTCATATAGTCCAAGTTTTTAAAGTGTTCAAAGTCCTGGGGGTGGGAGGTGGAGGGAGCAGAGGAATTAACTTTCCAAGGGCACTCTTGCTTGGGCACTATGACGCCCATGAGAGTATGTTGTTGTTATTAAGTGCCATCAAAGTCTGTTCAGATTGACAGCTGACATGTATAGGGTTTCTGAGGAGTTGTGGGTGGGTTGAACTGCCAACCTTTCGGTTAGCAGTCCAGTGCTTATCCTACAACACCTCATCAGGACTCCCATAAAAGTACGTTATGTGCCGTGGAGTTGTTTCCAACTCATAGCGACCCTGTATAGGGTTTCTGAGGAGCATCTGGTGAGTTTGATCCTCGGACCTTGCAGTTTAAATCAACCTTGTGGTCCAGTGCTTATCCTACAGTGACACACCAGAATGCCTATGGAAGTACTGTTGTTGTTACTAAGTGCTGTTGAGTTGGTTCTGACTCACAGCGACCTGGTATAGAGTTTCCGAGGAGTAGCCGGTAGGTTTGAACTTTTTGATTTGCAGTCCAGGGCTGTTAACACAATGCCACACAAGGAATCCAGAGGTTCCCCAACCTTGCTGTATAGGGTTTCCAAGGATCCGCTGGTGGGTTTGAACTTCTGACCTTGTGGTTCGAAGTCCAGTGCTTATTCTACAACGTGAAAGTATAGGGAGGGGAAACTGCCAATGGCAGTTCCTTTCCTTAGGCAATATTCTATTGCAGAACTCATCTTAACAAGGATATGGTTCCTGTGATCTTGCCTTCATCATAAAGTCAAAAAGGGCACTCACTGGATACACACCTGCCATTTAGGTGCAATTAAATGCAGTGATTCAAGTAATAAAGTCATAGGAGAAAGGGGAGAGCACAGGCAAGAGGATAATGTATCTGGTGTCCTGGCCAGTGTCCAATGAGTCCTAGGTCATAATCCATGGTTGAACCATCAGCTGACAATTCTGGGAAGAGGGTGGACTGAGCTAGTGGGAAGCAGTGTATTGAGCTGGAAAGTTCCTTTAAGAAAACCACTGTAAACACTTTGAACTTACATGCATCAAATTCTTATGCTTATCTGGTCAATAACCTATTTGTATTGAAATATTTATAGAAATAATTATAGAGTAACAATGCATGTACATGTAATAATACAGATCGCTGTTATGTAGTTTACCCAGTGTACTAACATTTTGTAAAACTATAGTATAATACCACAACTATGATATTTACCTGGATATGACCCACCTAACTTATTCAAATTTCCCCAGTTTAACTTATATGTGTATGTGCTTAGTTATATACAAGTAAGCCACTATTTGTGTAGGTTTGTATACCACCATGGTCAAGATATGGTGCTGTAGGGTAAGCACTGGACTGCTAATCTCAAGGCTGGTGTTTGAAAACCCCACACAGTGTCTCTGAGTCAGAACTCACTCCAACAACAACATGTCCAAGATACTGACCAGTTCCGTCAATAAAGGTCCCTTAGGTTGCCCTTTTGTAAACACATCTATTTCCCACCTGTACCCTCTCGTTATTCCCCACTCCATCCAAACTAAAATTTTGTTGTTTCAACAATGTTACATATATGAAAGCTTTTGGCATTGGTTTTTAATTCTACTTAATTTCCTGGAGCCATCCAAACTGTTGGATGTATCAGTAGTTCATCCATTTTATTACTGACTAGCAGTATTCCATGGTATATAGGTACAGCAATTTGTTTAACCATCTACCCGTGTTGAAGTCCAAATATTAACATATTGGCATATTGGAAGCCTGAAGATAAATGTTAATAAAGATTAAAACAAATACAAAATGTTTTCATAACCTGATCTTATTGATTGCTCTGAATGAATGATTGTCTGATTACTATTGAAACGTATCACTAAACCTTTCCTAGCATTTTAGATAGCAGTCTTTAAATTTTTTTAAAAAGGAATTATAAAAAGCAGGAATAAAAACAATTATTGGCAAAATATTGTTTTATAGTGTTGGTAGTGCACTGTTTCTGCGAAAAGATTTTCTATAAAAGTTGTTTGTTATACTGATATACAGTTCAAAGAAACATCATGATGGCTTTGATATTAGAACTTCTGCCTTAGACTCTTTTCTTGCTTGATAAATGAGGTGCTGTTGTTTACTATTTCAGGAAAGGAGTGTACCCAGGATGAAAGTACAGCAGCTGCCATCTTCACTGTTCAAATGGACGACTATTTGGGTGGCAAGCCAGTACAGAACAGAGAACTGCAAGGCTATGAGTCTACTGATTTTGTTGGCTATTTTAAAGGAGGTTTGAAATACAAGGTAAAGAGCTCTCTCAAACAGGGTCCTCTTTCTTCTGTCCAATCACATTTCCTGTCTTCATTGACTGAAAATACATTGAGGGTGGGCTTTTTGTTTTATCTTGGTTTTGTCTTAATCCGTGATATATCCACTGGACTAGTAGTGCCTGTCTGACTCACAGTAGGTTCTGACTTGATTCAGTTTGTTAGGCTAATTGTTAATAGTTGAAGTTAAGAGTTTCTAGTCAGTTCTTTACAAGAAAGCCCTTTAATATCTATTAACTATATTTAATAATTAAACATTGGTAACAGGAATAGTTTTCTTTTTTAAAACTATTCTATATAGAATCTCTGAATTTACTGCAAATAACCCATTACTTAGTAATCTCAGTTGTTGTGAACCATTTTACTACAATATTTATAGCAATTGTAACTTCAGTTAATTCAAAGAACTATACACAGATTTCTCAAATACTGTGGCTTAGTGTTAGAAATGGTACAACTGGAACCATTGAACTGAACATATTTATGGGTCAGCCACACAAACAAAAATGGCAATTCATTAACACACATGCACAATTTTCATATATTAACCTGGTATATCAGACATCAGAAAAACAAGCAAAGAAACAAACAAGTAAAAGCAAATTGTTCTGTCTTCGAAATACCTTCAGTGAATTTTTTTTTTTTTTTTTTTCTGGAATTCTCTCTTAGTGACCCTTGCAGACTAGTAATCCTTTGCCCACTCTCCTCAACCACAGGTGATTTATTAAAGTACAAGGAACACCCATTCCAGACAAAAGTTTCAGAAATAAGCACATAAAAAAGCATTCTCAACAGGTCCTCTGCATACTCCAATACCTCATCTCTAGAGCATGTGACCCTGTCATTGATTAATTTGTGTATCCCCTAAATATTTGTCAATTTGGCTGGACCATGATTCTCAGTGTTGGGTATTTATGCAATAATTTTCATCATCCTCCATGCTGTGATCTGATACAATCAGCCAGTCATATCAGTGAGGGTTAGGGTGTAATGGCACATGTTTACTCAGGTCACAATCTTGATCCGATTGATGTAAGGGAAGTTTCCTTGGTTTGTGGCCTCCATCACCTTCTATCTTACAAGAGACGAAAGAGAGAGAAGGGAGCCAAGAAGGGGAGTCCTCAGTACCACCAAGAAAAAGGATGGGGGATCAGCATGTGTCCTGTAGACCCATTGTCTCTCTGGAGCAGCACCAGGTACCTGAGACTCGCTCTATTGATGACCTGAAGCCTCAGAGCACTGGTACCAATGTTGGAGCATATGTTTTACTTAAAATTACTAGAATTCTGAATATGTACTAAATATACCTAAATATACATAAATCTTTAGTGCCTTGTTTGAATATTTTATGGTACCATTGAGATAAGGATAAAATACATACATTTTCTTTTATCTCTTTTGAAATTAATTTTTCATTCTAAACTACGAACCACCCTAAATATGAGGATATTGTTATTGTTGTTAAGCACGGTCGAGTCTGTTCCTACCCATAGCGACTGGTGAGTTTGAACTACTGATCTTGTGGTTCAAACAAATTTGCAGTCCAGCGCATTAACCCACAGCGCCACACCAGGACTCCAAAAGTGTAAATGAGCTTTCATTCACAGGCCTCTGGAAACTTCAAACCACTGACCTTCAGAACTGCAGTGGAACTCACAACCGCTAGGCTACCAGAACTTCTTTGAGGGTATTGTTATTGTTAAGTGCCATCAACTTGATCCTGAACCATAGCAACCCTGTATAGGGTTTCCGAGGAGCGGCTGGTGAGCTTGAACGGCCGGCCTTGCTGTTCAAATGGCTTTGCAGTCTGGCACACTAACCCACAGTGCCACACCAGGTATTGTTGTTGTTAAGTGCCATCGATTCAGTTCCGATCCATAGCGACCCTGTACAGGGTTTCCGAGGCTGTAAATCTTTACAGGAGCAGAAAGCCTCATCTTTCTTCGGCAGAGCAGCTGGTAGTTTCGAACTGCTGACCTTAAGGTTCACGGCCCGATTCGTAACCACTACGCTACCAGAGCTTCTTACACTAGGTATTAGCTCCCATTTTATGTAAATTACATTACCACTTATGGCCATCAAGTTGATTCATATTAGTTTTGACATTTTGTGTTCCTAAGTCTCCTTTCCTTTCAAGAAACCCAGCATATTAATTAAGCTTAGTTTTGTCACTGTTATCTTGGTTGGGAACCCATTTCTGTCAATCACTTGTCTGACTTTGGGCAAGTTCTTAAGTTCTCTGTGCTGTTTCCTCAAATGTACAGTTGGTATCATAACAGCTTCCTTATACTGCTGTTATAAGAATTAAATATAAAATTATATGATAAAAAGACTTATACAATATATGCATAAGTCCCCAATCAATACAGGCATATGTTTTTATAATCCTACTAACTGAGTAGGATTTCTGAAATCAAACTTCTGGATATGTATTTCAAAGTAGACATGATAAAAGAAATTTTGCAGTTATTGGATAATTGTCTCCTAATTATAAATTGTCAAGATTAAAACCACCACAAATCAGCATTTTTTGAAAGAGGATGTTTGCAAATGGAGGTCAAATTTATCAGCAAAAAAATCAATTCACTGTCTTATCATCAGAGGCACTGAGCTTATGGTAATAAGTACACTTGCAAGGATAAGAAATGTGGAGACAGAGATAATGTGCCACCCAAAATAGCGTGGACTAGTATGTTATGCTTAATTTCATTCCATTTTAGTTTCAAGTTTATAGTAATGTGCTTAGCACATCACATACATCATTTAACCCAACAGCAGTTTTGTGCCATAGTTTTTATTGTTACCACTTACACACAAGTAAACTAAGACTTTGAGAGGCTATGTAATTTGCCAAGGCCTCATGGCTGGTATGTGAGTAGGTGGCTATCTGTCTCCAGTGCTTGAGTTTATCATCATCATACTATGATGTCATCAACATAAATAAATAGTTCTAATGCTGTAAAAATTTCAAGTTTCAAATTACTTATAAGCAAGCAATAGGATTGTTGTTTTTAATGTATTTGGAATGTGCAGAACTTGATAAAACCTTACTATCAAGTTAGTGAAAATCTGATGTAGTATAAATGTTAAGACCATCTTCCTATATCATTTGATTGACTTGTATCATTTCTCTCTTGAGTTTCTCTTTTATAGAGAAGATTGTAAGAGGGGAGATACTGTAGATGAGTATTACTTTCCACTATTCCCTTAAATTAAATCGGATTAATCATACCCTTTCCAAGCTTAAAGCAAGACCTAGCCTCAGACATGATTGTAGATAATGGCCTTCAGACATCTGTCTGCAAGTCTGTATTTATGGTGTTGCTATTTAGAACATCGCCCTTCCCCCCACTTGCTTGCATTTTGCCTTGTGGAAGTTGAAAAAGTTAGGAATTTCTAGGCTTAATTCAAATAATATCCACAGAATAGCTCTTTTTGTCTGATATGGATACTCATGTAATGTAACATAGGTATATATTTGTTTTATATGCATTTGTGGCATCAAATATGAAAGATGAATTAATTTTTAAAACACTTTAATTTCACAGACTATATACTTCTTGAATGAACCCTGGTGGTTCAGTGGTTAAGTACTCGGCTGCTAATCAAAAGTTTGGTAATTTAAATCCATCAACCTCTCCATGGAGGGAAGACGTGACAGTCTGTTTCTGTAAAGATTGTTGTGGTTAAATGCCATTGAGTCAGATCTGACTCACAGTGACCCTTTAAATCTTCCTAGGAGCAGAAAGCCTCATCTTTCTCCCATCTGTAGATTACAGCCTTGGAAACCCCAGGGGGCAGTTTCACTCTGTCCTATAGGGATTCTAAAAGTTGGAAGCTATGGATATATTGCTTTGATGGTTAGGAGTATGAAACTAGTCAGAGCATTATATATGTATTCTCAGTCTAACTTTATTCTGCATTTCAAAATTTATTTTCAGGGAATTTTCATAGTATGCTTTTATCTGATTATGTACTTTCACTTATTTAATTTTTTTAAGTGTTCAAAAACAGTAGTAAATAGATGACAACTTGTGTTTATTTTATTATAATACCTTTTTCAGTAAAAAAATGTAGCAATCTTTGCAGAATTATGGACTATGCATCCATTATATATTTCTTAAAATTTGATGTCCTGAAATCTGTATCTAATCTTATGCTAACAAAATCTTTTTGCTCATGAGGGTCTTTTCCTAAAGAAAGGTGGAAATGTAAAGTCGATTGAAATTTAAAGAATGTGGTAATGATAATATACACAACTTAACTTCTTATTTTGGATTTACTGTGACTATGATGTTTATACAATGAATGTGAACGTTGGATTATCTGATAAATTTCTTATACAAATTAATTATCTTACTATATTATCATCAGAGGCCTTGGATTTATAAATGATAGTGAGTTTTGTTTACCTTGTATCTTAATTATGCATATTAGTTCATAAATAACTGTGGAAATAAAGATTGTGGTTCGAGTAGTGGTTACGAATCGGGCTGTGAACCGCAAGGTCAGTAGTTCGAAACTACCAGCGGTTCTGCAGGAGAAAGATGAGGCATTCTGCTCCCATAAAGATTTACAGCCTCGAAACCCTGTGCAGGGTCGCTATGAGTCGGAACCAACTCCATGGCACTTAACAACAACAATAACAACAATAAAAAAATATATAGAAAAAGTAAAAGATGAGTACAAATAATGTAAGAATAGGTAACTGATACACTCAATATTTTAAAAGTATTTCTTAATTTCATGTGGTTTATTTTGTTTTGTCTTGTTTTACTTTGGTTAGTGATATGCAGCTGATATACTACTTCTCTCCCAATTTTAGGTGTAAATACACCTAGTTTATTTACTAAATTCTGTTTACCAGAAAATAAAAGAGACAGTTGATTCTTTAACATAAAAACAAGGTCCATAAATAGGAACAGCCCATACCTGGTCGGCACTCAACTCTGTTCTGTCCTTATACTATGATGACAGCAGGAGCTTTTGGACTGCCTTGTTCTCTCTAGCTGTATTTGTGATCTAGATGCTCCTAGCTGTATTTGTGACCTCTAACTGTCCTTCAACCTCCAGTCACTTTCTTCCCTCTGTCTTCTCACTAAATCATTACAGTAATTCCCAAAGGACAAGACCTCTGTGGTGTTTTCTTTTTGTTTATTTAACAGGGTTTTACACACTGAAGATTCTCAGTAGATATGTACAATTTAAAATTGAATTGTCAAAATAGGAAGAAGGGCAAGGAAACCATAAAAACAATCAAAACTAAACTAAACAAAAACACATGAAACAACTGCTGATGATTTCCCATGGAATTTTCTCTCCATAGTATTTTACTATTTTTTTGTTATTTTATCCTGCCCTGATGTTGTTGTTGTTAAGTGCAGTCTAATCTGAGGAGCGGCTGAGTGGGTTTGAACTGCGACCTTAATTTTGTACTAAGAGTTACGGTTTTATATTTTGTTATGTCTGGCTAGAAGCTTTCTTAGTCTTCTCTTTGTTGTGGTTTGTTTCTTCTCTCATCAGGCTGGAGGTGTGGCATCTGGACTAAATCATGTTCTCACAAATGACCTCACAGCTGAGAGGCTCCTCCATGTCAAGGGTCGGAGAGTGGTCAGGGCCACGGAAGTTCCCTTGACATGGGACAGTTTCAACAAGGGTGACTGCTTCATCATTGATCTTGGAACTGTAAGTTTACATACACACTTAGACTTCTGAAGGAAAATTAATTTTCAGACAAAATCAGATGTCATTAAAGATGATATAGCTTTTTTTACACATTAAAAAGGGGCCAGTGTTTATGTGAGAGAAAATAACATCACATGAATAATTGGCAAGGATTTAAATGACACATCAAGTTAGACTTCAAAGTATTTTTTTTTAATTTTCTTTGATAAGAATAGGATAGTGATTTAGTTTTTCCTACCATAGAACAGAAATTGAACGATCTTAGATGTATTTCCTCTTCTCTCTGAACACAGCTTCCTCTCATGATTTTTGTATTTGATGTCTTGGAGAATATACTTTGAGGGGGAACAAAACAGATTTTCACTGCAAGATTTATAAGCTTTAGAATTTAAAAATGGACATATAGGGTAGGTTCTGAAAGACACCCTGAGGATTTGGGGGAGACTATTTTAACTAATTTCATACACACATATGACAGCCGATTGGCATCAAGCTGGCTTCCAAATCATGGCAATCCCAAGTGTGTCAGAGTAGAACTATGTTCCATAGGGTTTTTAGTTGCTGAGTTTTCAGAAGTAGATTGCTAGGACTTTCTTCTGAAACATCCCTGTTAGACTCCAATCCCCAGCCTTCCAGTTAAGCTAAACATGTGAACCATTTAGTGGTTACGAATCGGGCTGTGAACCGCAAGGTCACCAGTTCGAAACTACCAGCGGTTCCGCGGGAGAAAGATGAGGCTTTCTGCTCCCGTAAAGATTTACAGCCTCAGAAACCCTGTACAGGGTCGCTATGAGTCAGAACCGACTCCATGGCACTTAACAACAACAACAACAAAGGAACTTCTTAGATACCGATATGTGTATAATAATTCATAATAGCCACCATACTATTTCATATATGTCAAGTGTCTTAGAGTTATTAAAAGATTGAGTGCTCTCTAGTGAGTTGGGGTCAACTTGATAGCAACAAGGTTTTAGACTCTCTACACAAGAGGGGCATTTTTCATTGATGATATTTTTCATCACCACCATTACTTGAATATATTAACTTTTTATACATATATTGTAATTGTTCTACCAATTCAATCACCATTTAATGATCATAAATTACTTCCTTTTCAGCTTTTAAATTACTCAAACCAGATCTTTGATATTGGATAGATCATTAAACTCTCTGAGACTTAGCTTCCTCAATTATTTTTACCTCCTGACTCTGGTTTCTGATGCCACTTACCGTCTTAGATAACTATGATTCAGTCTCATCTGCCATACAGTCACATTGGGGAAATGGAAGTTATCATCTCATTTTGACATGGTAAAACAAAGTTTTAGGAAGTTTGAGAGTCTCTTGCATTCATCCACTTTGAGTGATGACCCAGAATAGGACCTAGGTTGTTTTTGTTACTAGTGCACATCCTTTTGCTGGCGTGGCACTGTGGGTTTATGTACTGGACTGCAAAGTTAGTATGAACCACAAGGTCAGCAGTTCAAGCTCACCAGTCGCACTTTGGAAACCCTATGCAGGGTCACTATGAGTCAGAACTTACTCAATGGTACTTAACATCAAACAACAACAACATACCAAACTAACCTGTTAGTACATAAGATGAAATGTTCCTATAGCAGAGGTTTGTCATGGATTCAAAATCTGTACACCTCTGAATTGATAATGTCTACCATTTCCCTGACTGAAAATATGTTGAAAGTCATATTATTCAGTAGATTATTATTTTATAGACAAGTATTGAATTTCCACAAGAAGCTAGATAGCAGAATGTTGTGGTAGGCAGGTTGTGGTGGTAGTGGCTTATGTGCTCTTCTTACAGCCAGTGTTTGCCCATGGGAATATGACCTACAAATCCAGGCTCATATAGAAAGAAGAGTAAAGTTCAAGGCCACTCATCTACTCAATAGTAAATAATCTCTGTATTATGTAGTCAGTAGTTATCTTTAACAGCATTTAGATTGTTTCCTGCTCCCATGCCTGTTTAAAGACCCATTTAGAATGATTTTGTTGTAGATATGTTTTTGCTTTGGTACCTTTATGTTGTGGAAATTTCCCAAATTTAAAAAGAATATCCTAGTAGGAATCAAGCACTGAATTCTTACATATACTGGAACTAATACTCATGTGATTTTTAATTATGTTACTAACCTTTAACCATTTGGTATGTTGCCAAAAGTTTCTAAATGGTGATAAGATCGGGAAACTGTACATTTAGGGTGTGTCTCAGTAAAAACAGAATATGGAAATATATGTTTATATTTTTACAACAACGTTTTAATAGAAGTCATTGAGTTAAATTTTCAGCTTCTGCATTAGAGGACAAAAGAAGTGAGAGCATTTTTCTTGAAGTTTGTTTATTACCCAGATATGAAATATCATAGCTGTCACCCAAAGAAAGCCATATGACCAAAACTAAGGTTATGGATATAACCTAAATCTTGAATCTGATCATATTTGAGGTTTGACAGCACTTAACAACAACAACAATATAAATTACATTATGTTTAGCATAATTTCAGAAAATAATATAGAGCATGGCTGGCTCTTAGCATTTTGGAATTTGCTGAATCTTTGTAAAGTGTATCTGAGCTATAAATTTTAATGTTAATGAACTTATTATTTTATTTTCCCTCTGTTTTTAAAGATACACTTATGACAGATTTGTAAACATCAACAAAGTCACTTCTAAAAATTTTGTAACAAAGAAATATTAAACTTGATAAACCATTCATGAAAAAAGCCCATACTTAGAAGTTTTAGGATCAGGGGTTACCTCTTTTAGCAATATATGTCAGAGGAGAATTCGATTTCACCAGAGTGGGAAGTTTTATGGTGAATTACTAATATAGTCGTTTGTATGCTCTATTGCCTTGTTAACTTGTTTTGTCAGTTCTGCAGGTTTGCTATTTATAATTGTTTATAATTGACCTACCCACGCTCTCTTTGTCCAGTCAGGCGGCTTTGAAAAAGCAGCCGACACTTCCTTATTTCTCTGCTAGTCTTCAACCACATTGTTTGATGTTCACATCCAATATGAATGTGGGACATGTGAATGCACATCAGTACTGTATGGCACTTTAGTCAGAAGGGAAGTAGCCTGGGCTCTACTAAAAAATCTATTGCATCGGGTTCCACTTTCCTATTTACCAGCAACCTCTACTTTCCTCTTTGGGCCAGAGAAACTGTGGTCCATTTCACATTCTTTCCTACTCTTTGGTTCTTGCAACTAATCCTAGTCCTTAAAGTCAAGATGCTAGCTACTGATTTGCTAAACCAACTTTTCAGAGAGCTGCCCCCCCAAACAAACTTTTGTTGTTGTTGTGTACCATCGAATCTATTCTGGCTTACAGTGACCATCTGAGTATAACTGCCCATAAGGTTTTCAAAGCTATGTGTTTGTTTTAAACTTTTTATTGTGAATTGGGTGAAGATTTACAGAGCAAACCAGTTCTCCATTCAATAATTCTTGCACATCTTGTTTCATTTCAGTGATTGCAATCCCCACAATGCATTATCACTTATCCTAATTCCTCTCTGTGTTTCCTGCTTCCAATCCTTCCTCCTTCTTAACCCTTCTGAACTTTGTCCTGGGGCAAATACTTCTCCCTTGATCGCAAATGGCTGATAATTCTAAGGAGTGTGCACCTTTTTAATGTTACTAAAATGAAAGCAGTCAATTTCTATCAAGTTCTATATCAGCAGACTATGTAGCCCTGTTAGTGGAAAAAGAAAGAAGAAAAAAATTTTAATTGTTGGCCATCCTCTTATTGGTTGGTTTTTTATTTAAAGATATCTTGCCTTTTTCTTTCTGTCTGTCTTCTTAAATAATATGCAACTGTACAATGTCTCTTCCATAACAATTGTAGAATCTGAAATACTGTATTAAGCACTGTATCCCAGAAATTTGAAAACCAGAAATGTGCTGTAAGAATTTTGAGATCTTTTACTGCTTGGCATTCTCAGAGGAATCTTGAAATTATTACTTTGACATGTAAAAAAAGACCTGTCTATTGTCTAACTGAAATATAAGCAATAGGAGTGAGTTCAGCTCTAGACCAATGGGTGATTAATGGTGATTCCCATTACCCCACTCTATCTAGGACCTCTTGATGTCATTCCTTCAGAGCAGCTGGTAATGGTAGCTGTAGGTATCATCTACCTCTTCTGATCTCAGGGTTGTGGAAGCTGATGTTCATTGAATCCATTAATTCATTAGATTAACTGTTTCCATGGTCTTCACTTTCATTGCTCTGTATGAGGAAAGATCAATAGTTGCACCTTCAGTGGACATTCACAAGCCTCCCAGACCCCAGTTGCAAGACTATAATCTTTATAATACTTGGTTGTTATATTGTTCTCCTGTGGAGCCGCTGGTAAATTCAAACCACCACTCTTTCCGTTAGCAGCTGCGCATCTGACCACTGTGCTAGTAGCAGTCTTTCAAACAAATTTTACACCAGCAAAATCAAGGTTTTTGCAGATTAAAACTGTGTTAGTATTCAGACTCTTATCTTTATTTTGACTTAAAAACACTTATTTTGAAGCTAATAACTGGGCAAAAATTACTTTGTTTTGGTTAATTTGCATTTATCCCAAATTAATGCATACTGCTAGCTTTATAAAAGGAGAACCATGAGGCAACAAGAAAAGATAACAGGAAAGATAAACCTAGTATTAACTTCTATGAATCATCTTGCAATAAATGTGTGCATGGTGTATGTGTGGATACATGGGGAACAATGGTAAATGTCAGACAGCCTTTCACCTCTATGCCAGTTGCCAGCAAGTCCATTCTGAGTCTTAGTGACCCCATATGTTGCAGACTACAACTGTGCTCTGTAGGACCAGGTCCCAGGTCTTCTGAGGTACCTCTGGGTGGGTTTGGGCCAATTTAATTGTTTGCACTACCCATGGATCTTTCACCTCTATTGTTGTTACGTGCCAGTGAGTCAGTACTGACTTATAGTGACCCTATACACAACAGAACAAAACAC